AGTACTGAAATTGTCAAATTAGGGTTTAGGGGATGGACTGGAACTGAGGAACATGGATGGAAACATTCAAACGTACTTTAGGGATTAGGGACGGCCGCGTTGCAGACTTCAAGACTTGTAGTCGCCAGTCGGATGTATACTTGTATACGTATTGCCACGGTGCCGCCTTGCCGGATGCCGGATGGCCGGGCCGCTGGGTTGTTGGACTGTCGTGCGGCGTGCCGCGCGTGCAGCTCCAGCGGGCAGCGGGCCAGCGGCAGGCGAGGCAAGGATGACACGGCAAGGCGCCGAGCGACGGAGCGAGGAGGCCGACGGGCGTCACGGCGCCTGACGAACCTAACCTACGAAGGAAAAGGAAAACGAGCAGTCGTCTGTCTGCCAACTGGCGTGAGTCACGGTGTCGCTTCGCGACTTCGCGTTCGTTAATCGATCAGCGATGGCTTGCTAGCTATCTGATGGGCCTAGCCCATCTTATTTCTTTTCTCTAGTTTTTTTTGTATTATTTTTACCTATTTTTTGCTGGGCTATAATATAGATATATACTCTGTCATGGGCCCCCCTCCTCGCCTGGGCCCTGGGACGTCGCCCCGCCGCCATACCCCCAGGGCCGGCCCTGTCTAGCACATTTCCACGAGCCGTGCGAGGTTGACCAAATTGTTCGTTCAAAAGTGTAGGCGGCGGCTCGTTGCAACCGATCCATAATTCCCCTTTTGAACGGATGCAAAGTAGTCCCTCTGTTCGTTTCTCCGACAAATAATTCCGGACGAAGAGAGTACCCAGCTCGAGCTACCTCAGCCATGATCGAGGTTAGCCCAAGACCCTCCACACTTCCTTCACCCTTTGGCAGCTGAAAATAATGTGCACTACGTCTTTATGGTCTTGATGATATACTAGGCATCCACTCTGCACCTATCTTCGCGGCCCTTTGTTGATGACAGATCGTTAAGGTAGGGAGAGACCTGATCCCAAAGCACCATCCCCGCTGCCGCCGATGTCAAGGTAGGAAACGACCTTACTCTAACGGATCGCCGTCATCATCGTCGATGCCACCAGGAAACAAAGACCTAAAGATAACAAGGACCTAAACAACGAAAGGGATGGTTCCCCACTCTTCTGACCGTCGATGAGGCAACTGGTCAAGGGATAGGAATGGGACCGAGGCGGCAACATGGAGACCTTAGCCACTACTAGGTCGAGAAAGGGGGCGGTTGAGGGGTCCATACATTTCTTTTTTAATTGTTTTTGGTATATTAATATAATTCCATTTGGTATATTAATATAATTCCATTAGGAGTGCCAACGATCTAAATATTGCAGTCCCAGGACCCACATCCACTGCGGAGCTTAGTTGAAGCAAAGCTGTGCTGTGGCTGCCCAGTTTTGCTTCAAAACAATGGGCCAAAGAAGAAAAATGGGTTGTGAGAGAAACAGACATGCACTCTCATTAAGTTTGGCCCGCCCAATTGTTGACTGTAGCTCCGCCACTGCCCACATCATCCCTCGCTCATCGAAAACCCGCATGCAAGGCCCATAAAAGGCACATGACTATCAAGTTTGCGCTCATACGACCAAAACAACTCAGGGTGTTGGATCGGCTCAGTCTTTTGGGGCGTGTTTGGTTGCAGTAGTGAACAGTAGTTGCATTGCATACACATCTCAACCCAGCCTGACTCTGAAAAAACAGCCTCATATGCAACATCTACAAGTTGTTTGGTTGCCTGCATATGGACTTCCCGCATTAGGGGATCAACTTTGGCACGTTATTTGGTTGCCCGCATTGTCTCGGCGCATACAACTACACGTTATTTGGTTGCCCACATGGGGTATGATTAAGAGCTAGCACTTGCACTTAGTACATAGGGTTAAGAGCTAGCAGAGGAAGGGGGAGAAGAAATGCAGTGTGCGCCGGACCATGGCGACTGCCGTTGAGAGTGACTGTGGCGCCGTGTCCGACGTGACGAGCACGAAGTCATGGGCGAGCGACCCCGCCGGTGAACTAGTTGGAGTGCTTGCGCAAAGACAGTGGACAGAGGAGGAGAAATGCAGTACTCATGCAATGGCATCGTCAGTGTAGTAGGACGAGAGAGAGGAGCTGAGATGATCGACGCTGGAAATGACTCTAGTGTAGTAGGACGGGAAAGAGGAGGCCGGGAGGAGGCCAAGATGATCGACCCCGTCGGTGGCAGAGAACAGAGAAGAAGAACCCCGTCAGTGTGTGCGCCATGGCGGCTTAACTACAGTAGGATCATGGAGAGAAGGTCGAGATGAACGACGGCAACGATGATACTACCACAGCAAGAAGTGAGAGAGGAGATCGAGAGAAACCACGCCGACTAGAGTAATAATTAAGCAGTGTTTTAAATCATAGCACACATATCCATATGTACAACCATGAGAAATATGTAGATCTTCTCATCTACGATCGTCGAAACAGGGAACTTGCAACACGAATGTTGTGCATTATTGCGAGATTAGGCTGCAGGTCAAAGGAAATTTCTAGAGGTTGAAGAAGACACCACGTAAACACCTCGCATCCCTCCCATCTCCACTCGTGCAAGGGCCTGCTCGCTTGCGCTCGCCTCGGCCTGGCTCGCAAGAAACTGCCGATCTGACCGTTTCCAGCGAGTCAGGCCCAGAGGTGCTTTAAGAAGCGTGCGATGCAGGCCCAACAGTGAAACCAGACAATCAAATAGGTCTCTTCCTTCGCGCGCGGGCCTGGTTGGGCTCGATGCGGGCAACCAAACACGCCCTTGAAGGTGCTCATAGGGATAGCGTGTGTGTGCAAGCATTCATAGGGGTGAGTGTATGTGCATATGTATGAGCGTCTATATTTGTATTGTATTGAAAAAAACTCGAGTGTTGGATTATTTGCCCTATTTTATTTTGAGAAAACACGCATACTCATTCGATTGATCCCATTGTGTTGTTCGCCGCCTAGTGTGTGACATGTGCCCCGTGGCCCACGCATGCCGTTCCTCATCTTCTTAACGGTGGGGTGTCAATGGCTTCGCGATGTCATATGTGTTGCGAAGGGGCTTTGCAACATCGTCCATGTTGCAAAGGGGCTTCGGAACAAGTGGCAGCTGAGTGTTGCAAAGGGGTTTGTTGTGGATGCAACATAGGCCACGCCACGGAGGTACGAAACGCTTCGGGTGAGCACAACAATGGCTCTTGTTGCGAACGCCCGAGCACAACATGAGTCAAATTGCAAGCGGCTGCAACAGAGATTGGACGACTGTCTCGCACGCCATCCAACTGTTGCCGAGGCGGCCGATCCGATCCGATAATCACCTGGCCGACGGCTAGCGTCGCATTTTTTGATGATTTGCTCTGTGTTATCTCAATGGACGGTGCCCCGCCCCACATGGAAGTTTCACAGGAGGGGGAGAAGGTGAGAGATAATCAAAGCGAGGACTAAAACGAAGCAAATGATTCAAAAATTCCACTCAGCGCGCCAGTGAGAAACCAGCATGAACGAGATTCCCGGCCGAACCGATCACAGATTCACGGTACACTCGACCCGTCTCGACGGCACCATGAGCTGCAGCACCAGCGGGCACTTGACCGACAGCGTGCTCGCCGAGGTCGTCACCACCCCGCCGTACCTGTACCGCACTTTCCCGTCGAGCCACAGGTCGACGGGGAAGGCCGCCGCCGTCAGGTCGTCGGCCGAGGTCCCTCCGAGCACGGCCCGCATCCTGTCCGCGCAGTTGGCGGCCTGGAACGACATCGGCAGGGCGACCCGGTCGAAGCTCCGGCCGCGGTAGATGCCCTCCGCGTGCAGCAGGTCGTAGTAGACGCCCACGCGCCTGTTGGGGTTGGTGATGATGAGGCCGGCGGTGAGGTTGAACGACATTACCGGCGAGGCCGCCGTCGAGTTCACGAGGAACCAGGACAGCGTCGCGGCGTCGACGGCCACCTGGACCTCGCTGGGGCGGTAGATGAGCCAGACGAGCAGCGCGACGACGCCGGCGAGGATGCAGGCTCCGACGAAGGCTAGGATGAAGATGCGGAACGGGCTCAGCCGGCGCCGCGGGGGAGGAGGCGGAGGCCGGGGTTGGTCAGGGCGCGGGGAAGCGTCGGCGGCCGCTGGCACGACGCCGACGCCGACACCATGGGCGGGCGCGGCGCCGGCGCTGTAGCCGTAGGCGTGGATTTCCTGCGGCGGCTGCTGCATGGCTAGAGGCAGACGAGGCGACGTGGACACGAGTCGCACGAGGAACCGATGGATAGAGATATATATATATATATATCGGACGACGTTGTATACTTGTATTTTCTTGACAGGAGAGGACGACGTTGTGGAAGGGTGATACGATGCTGTGGCGTTGTTTCAAGGCTAGATACAATGCCAGTGCAACACGTATAGCAAGAATCCGACGAGACCTTCAAGGCTCGTAGCTGCAGCACAGCTATTTCAAGTGCACGACGACAGGAGATGCCTAAGAAACTCCGGCAGCACGGACAAGAAGGACAGAGGGTACAACCGTGGAAATGCACGGCGAAGTCTAGCGCAACTACTTGGAAATTGATAAGAGTGAACGAAATGGAGCAACGACAAGTGATAGCATCAGGAATCCGAGTATGAGATGCAGCTACCTGTCCGGTGCTAAATTTTGCTGGCTGGATAATTAGTTTACACTGCTCCTGTGTGGGGTGACAAGAGTTGTCCACAAGGAGAACAGACTGACAGCAAACATGAAAACACATCCGCTCGAATCCGGGCGAGTGTGATAGACAGCTAAATAATAAATTGTGGATCTTCAATATGCATACCTTGGTATGCAGATTTAGCATTATTTTTTACATGTCTTATTTCTGTTTACAAGTCTGGGCTATTTACAGAATGTACCGTATACAGCTGGGAACCATTGAGACGCAAACTTGGGACTGATATACATATAGCACACGAAATGAGGGGGCGTGAGGTGGTCAAACTTTACACATTTGGATATTTCAGAACATAAATAAAAAAAGAAAAAGGTTAATTTTACGGGCACTCATGTTGAGCTGCGACTCGCTTCATCATTCATCATCCCTTGAAAACTTCTGGCCAGCCAGATAGCCGTTTCTCGCGGGGACACCTTCGCCTTCCCGAATGGCCTCAGAACCACCGCAAGCTCCTCCAGCCTGTTGTTTTCCAGCAGATCAGCAGAAAGCTCCAAGAGCCCTTCAAGAGCCTCGGATCGTTGCCTAAAGGACTTGACATCAAGCATTTCCTTTGCTGAGGTTGCCAGTATTTCCTTTGCTGGGGTCTCCAGAGAAGCAGAATTTACTTCTGGGATAGCGGGCAATTTTACAACATCTGAATTGGCCAGCTTCGGGCTGATAGTATTATCTTCTGAAATGTTGGGCTTCACGGCGGCAGAACCAACAAGTCCGGAAGGTATAAGACTTGGTGTGATGCTTCTGACATCCACTTCTTCTTTTATGACATCGCAAAGTTCGCCAACATCTGTGCTTTGGGCTTCCATTTCAGCACTACCTGTTACTGCCTGCTCATCGCTGACGCTGAAACTGCCGGGCCTTATGACATGTATAATGTCCTCAACTGGAGGGCCCAAATGAGGAACTGGTGATTTCTCTGATAACTGGTGGATAGAATTGGATCCTTTGTCTAGTGCAATGGTTTTTGTTGCTGAATCATCAGGAGCAATATATGGTACTGATGAGAGCAGTTCTTGTACTGTGAACTTATCCTCCTCACTCTGTACAGTGATAGTGGGAGTGCTCTGCACCGTCTTACTGCAGGGAATATCATCCTTGCAAATAAATTCTTGCACATTTGTATCAACAGATGGGTCCAAGGCTGAGCTTACACTACTATCATCATTACTAGCCATACTCTTCTGCAAATTGGTGGTGTTGAGCTCTGAGCTTGGTATATCAGTTTGATCATGCTTTTGTATGGCAGTGTCCAGGGTTGGGCATTTGCAAGATGAATCCAAGTGGGTTAATGAATCAGGTTCAGATGGTTCAGACTGCTTGATGCTGTCAGCGTAATCAATCTTGGAACTGGAGCAAACACTACTGACTTCTTTGGTTGCTATATCACTGGGTGGAGCACATTTCACCTGTGAATTGCCCAATTTCATTTGATTACCACCCAGGGGACTTGGAGGAGCCATTAGAACACCTGGAAGCTCAGTGAAAGCATTTTTTGGACTATGGACAGATCGAGAAGGGCTTTTTGCATGCTCTGTGGTAACCTTACTGTGAGCTCGTTTTGTCCCAGTGTGCTGTGGACTCTCTGCTCCCACTGGCCTACGGGGAGGGAAGCTAGGGCGTCTACTAAAACTGGGTAGAACCCTATTCTTGACCTTCCCTTCAGCGGCATCAACATCTTCAATTGTCTGCTTGGTAGGGTCTAGCTGCTGCGGCTCATCCGCTTTGATCTTAACTTTTGGAGAATGTTCAACAATTGGCGACTGCAGGACATGATCAGGAAAAAAAATTAGCAACAAAAAAAAGGTGATTCAGCACAAGAAAATGATTAATCCTCATTCCTCACCAAATACTTCAGGGGAGGAGATGCTTGTATGTGTTTCATAGTATCGCGGTTGACCTTTGCTGGTGCATATGGTGTCACTTCACTAGATTTTACACTGGAGGAAACACTGTTATGCTCTGAATCATCAGACAAGAGCTCTCTGTGACTAGGTGAATGTAGCTTTACACGGCTAGCTCTCAAAGGTGAATTGTTTACCCTGAGCTTATTAGTCTCCTCTCTTAGGGTTGTTAGTATCTTCTTGATGATTTTTGGCTGCTTACTCCCGTATTTGGGACGCTGATCAACATGTATGGATTTAGGTGAGTCTTGTCTCTCCAGTTCAGGACTATCAATGTCCTTATGGCTTTTAAGATCACGTGGTGTTGAACATGTTTTAACTGACGCATCATCAGTAGCTTCAGCACCTTCAGTACCAATGGTGGTGTTGTTGGAACTTGTAGCTAGCCCTGATGTGTTTCTTTCACTTGATTGTATACTGTCCAAATCACTGCCAGTGCCAGAAATGCTGCTACATTGGCTCCCAGACATGCTCCTCCGACTGCTCCGTGAACTGGTAATGGATTTCCCTGGTGATCGCATGGGATGCGGTACAGCAGTAAACGCGCGGTGCTGATCAACATAAGGTTGCAGATATGGATTTTTCAGAATATCAGATGCCTGTTTACAAATAGTAATAAATAATGTCAGAATCGAGTAAATTTGGTAAACAGGTTTTGTAGTGAGATTTCTATGCGCATAGTAACTTACAGTAGGCCGGTGTTCAGGATTCTTCCTCAACATGCTTTTGATAAGCGTTTTCCTGCAACCAACAGCCAAAACGGGAACCTTTTAGCTAACATTGGACTAGGAAGCTCATCAGAATATGACAATAGAACAATGATGTTTTGTAATGGGATAAAAAGTGCTGCATTTTCCAGCAGACATCGCTTGACTTTGAAGAAGTTGAAAGACAACGTATCTAAAGATTAAATGGTAGGTTTAGAAAGGATAGAATAGTCCATAATATGACAACAACAAATATGACAATAGAAGACTGAAACTATTTTAAACAAGAATGTTAAGGAAAACCAGACTTCCATGCATGCCTACTATATATAGCATGAAGGTGCACTTACATAGATGGAGAGTAGCAAGTAGGTATAGGGCCAATGGAGGAGCGATTTATTTTGCTTATCAGTCCAGCCATATCCTGAAAGGAGCAAATTTAAGCACAGGTAAGCTTTTACAATTTCGAAACCAATAATGCCATCACAATGGTAAACTGTGTCCACTAGTATGAACATTTAAGAGAAACCAATCACGCCATCATAATGGTAAACTGTATTCACTAGTATGAACATTTAAGAGAAAAAATGGAACAGATACTGCAGTCCACAGTCCAGCAATTCGACAAAAATAACATGCAGGGAAACTAATAATCAGCATCATTTTTTCCAAAGAAATCTTGACTTTGATTTAGTTTAAGTAAACATGGATTTGCGTAAAAGAAAAATATTCATACTTAAGAGAGAGCACTAGACCTCTTCAAACATATTTTTGAAGGTCAACGAGACAAAAGATCTGCATCATTCACATAAATCCAGAAATGAATTTCCTGGATGGATCGTGGATAAGTATGTTCCAGTATGGTATGAATCTGGAAAAGAAACTCATCCTTCTCTTATAGCACAAAGTTAGACATGTGCATGAAAATTGCGCGCGTGCACACACACACACACACACACACAAAAGTCGATATTGTGAAGAGTTCTACACAGAATGAAGACATCAGTGCTTCTTAATTGTCGAGTGGTTTTCCTTAGCAAACTTCAATGAATGTAATAGAAGTGGAAGAAGAAATTATTCAATGGAGATGCAAATGCCACAACCTCTCAAATGGAAGGTGACGATGATCACTCTTTCCCTACTAAAAAAGAGGCTGGAAGCCATATGGTCCTTACATTGGGTTCGTGACCATTTGTAATGCCACAAGAAAGTCCACTTGAGGTTTTCTATATCTTCCATTCTGTTTGTTGATAGCAACCTACATACTATTTCGAAGTGTTCTAGTAATCTTATCCTTCTATGGGCAGTCGGCAGGCACTTTCTAAATACAAGCTATGTAGCATTGATTACAAGGTATGTAAAATCCATGGAAATATAATTACTGTTAGGTAGGAGATCATAGTGATATAAGAACATGAGCTGATAAGAACTCACAAAAGCCTTGAAAGCAGGTCGATGAGCAGCCATCTCATACATACAACATCCTGTACAGACATATTCCAGTTAAAAACTAGGCTATATGACATTGATTTTTAGAAACAAGGTTTATAAATAAAGCCAAATGGCATAAATTTCCTAAAGTATCTCCATAAAAGTAGGTAGTTACCAAGAGACCATATGTCTGACTTGAATCCATAAGGAATGTCGGTAAGAAGCTCTGGGCACATGTAATTTGGTGTTCCAACAACCTAAGAAGGCATCATGCTAACATATAAGATTCAGGGAATAAAACAGAACATGATTAATCAGTATCTGTATCTGAGATAGAAGGATATCACAGAGAAGCTTACCGAAGATGTTAAATCGTCTGCCTTTAAGGTCTTAGCAAGGCCAAAATCCCCTGCAAGTAAACTAGAGACATTTAAACTCCAGCAATGAAACATTGCGGGGTGCAGACGTAATACAAGATAAGAGTTACTTGAGTCAATGTGAGGCACTAACCAAGACGGATGTCATGATCTTTTGTGAGAAATATGTTTGAGCACTGCAGAAAGGACAAGGACACGCTATATTACGGGTTGCTTGATGAAATAAATGACAGCATCATCATTCTTTGACACTTACCTTGAGGTCCCGGTGCAAAACATAGTTTGAATGCAAGTAGTCAACAGCTAGAGCCAATTGAGCAAACCATCTCAGCAGTTTCTGATGATTGTTCACAACAGTTAGCACACTTCTGGATATTGATTACCTAAAACATGAAACAAAAGGAGTTGAAAAAATCGTAATAACCTCTTCCGGGAAGTATGTCCCATTTGCCTTTTTCATCAGTTCAGCCCTACCAGAAAGAACACAGCAAAACAAAACAGAGTCAACAACCAAAACCAATCTCCCGGACTCCCACTACCTGTAAATTACACTCACATATCGCCACCTTCGCAGTATCCCGTCACGATGCAAACATAGCAACCCTGTCGTCACTCACACAGTAAGCCAGAGGAAAGATGTAACAATACAAAAGGCATATGCAGATGCATGTTCCTAGAGAACAAACCTTCTCAACCCATGCCTCCTTGAATTCAACAGTATAAGGATGTTGAAGGCGAGCAATAAGGGCCATCTGCAATTTTGCTTCCATCTGTCAGTTCAACAATACTAATCAATGAACTAATAAATCCTAACAATTTCTCGTGCTTCACTAACCTCTTGATGAGCAGATTTGCGGCACCGCTCTGTCTGCCTTGCGAGCCGGATCTTCTTCAGCACATATCTGCAAACCAATCATATATCAACCACCTTCTTTAAGGGGAAACAAACTCTGTATTCTGTAACTAAATAGAAGAAGGCAATCTTCGCATCATACTTTTTCTTCTCGGTCTTGTGGTTGACCAGAATGGCGGCACCAAAGGCGCCGCGGCCAATCTGCTCCATGATCTCGTACTGATCCATCCGCGACTCCATGGTATTGGTGCCCAACATCTTGGACACAACTGCCACAGCAAAATTCAATCCCTAATACCCAAACCTTCCCATATCCTGTACACGACACGGTTCCGATCAGCTCCACGCCCTAGGCGATTTCTGCAAAAGCATACAAACAAGCATAAATCAGCCGAACATCAGCGCACGCCTTGCGCTCGAATTTGATCAAAACCCACCCCCTGTTCCATCCAATAGAATCCTGAACACCTACTTGTTTATTTACTTCAGACAAGAACAGTAAACTGTAGTCACATACAGTACTAATCATCTAGGCACACGAATCCGTGGCCGGAGTTTCGCGGCTGTACTTGGCACAGGAAAAAAGAGTAGAAAGCCATTTTCACGCGGAAAAGCGAGAAGTTGGGCAACTGTACTGCCGCGCGGTTGGCACCAACCGCCACTGGCCGGGACGGACGGGGACCTTACCGCGGCACGCTACGCCGGCATTGGCCGGCGCGGGCGGGGGCTGCTCCGGCCACGCCGCGGCCGCTCCCCGGACGGCTGGGCTCCGGTTCCGGCCGAATCCGCCGGCGGCGGGATAGGGCGGGGCGTGGCGGCGCCCCGTCTCGTCTCGTCGCCGACGCCTCTGCTGCTCTCCCGCGCCGGCCGCGCCCGAGCTCTCGGCTGCTATGCCGCCCCCTCCGGTTTGGGATTCTGATTACTGTTGCCTGTTGGCTTCGCTCTTGCCTCTCTCTCTCTCCTTGTTTGTTTGTTGCGGCGTGCTTTCGGTTATTTAAATCGTCAAATGGGGGAAGTGGAGCGCCTGCTTATATGCGACGCCATGGCCGCCACTAGTGATTAGTAGTGAAGAGGGATCAACACTTAATTAGTAGTAGTAGATTATTTATGCTTATTTACGACAGTTTATATTGGTAGAGTGTAGTTGTACGCCTAATTTGCAACGTTTATTTATGTTTGTCCTAATGATGACGATATAAGTAGTAGAGTAAGCGAATTAACCACTCTCGTCAGCATTAATTCCAAATATCCGTACCGATTTGACGGCCAAACCGAAAGCGGTTTCCGTCATCCCGCACCCAATTCTTCATTTCCACCAGATTTTTAAATCGTCGTCGTCAAATTATGGTCTGGACTGGTACACATCACGTAGTGGTGCAAATTAATTGGGGGACTGATATATATCATGAAGCATGATTAGATTTGGAGGTCACATCACGATGTGTTTCATGCCCGTGCCTGTGCCTGTGCCTGTGCCTGTGCACGATGATCTCATAAGTCCGCACGTCTCGCTTGCTACGTGCAGCCGAAGCGCCCATACATTTTCTGACGGTTTTCTCTCCTTTCTTTAGTTCCGCGTGCGTGTGAATGATGCTTTTTGGCTTCGCGGGAACGCTTTGGCGATCCAAAAGGAAAGGCGCCGATAAAACTTATCCTGTTGCGATCGAGCAAAAAGAGGAAGAGGGCCTATTAATGGCAAGAGGATGGCGAGGTGATGGTTCAACGTCTGCGTCCTTGGTTGATTGGTATGGTCGGTCCGTGGCACTGTGCCTTTAGAGCATCTCCAACAGGCGCCGGACGCGCCGCGCGTAAAAAACAGATTTGCCGTGCGCGTATCGTCTGATTTGGCACGGCGCGCAGCGCTGGCTCCAGCAGCCGCACTAAAATGCAGCGCGCGCGACAACATTTTCGGAAGCATAAAATAATAAAAAATTGCATAGATAAAAAATAAAGATAAATTGCATAGATAAAAAAACGATACAAAGGCATTTTACATCGGTGCAACTAGATAGATAGTTCGAAAATATAGATAGATAGAACTATGGTGCAACTAGATAGAAACTACTACGGCATACTAGATAGAAACTACTCCAAATCGCAACCACCATCATCATCCTCGTCGTTGTTGTCCGAGGTATCGAGCCAAATGTCGTCCCAACGTTCATCGTCTGATGTGAAGATCGACCTCCCACCTGCTGAAACGACGCCGGTCCGCCCGCTCCGCGCGGCGCCTTGCCGTTCTCTCCGCCCAGTGGGCACGCTCGTCGGCGACGTCCTCCGGGTGGCGACGGCGCCACTCCGCCATGGCTCGCTCGTCCTCCTCGGCGATGAGGAGGCGGCGGCAGCGCCGAGCGTGGTCGGCACGGTCCATGTCGGTGATGAGACGCGGCGGAGGGGCGACGCGCTGCGCCTGCTCGCGCGTGAAGACATCCCGGAAGTTCATCTGCGTCCGGGGCCTATCCAACCGCCACGCCGCCGCGTCGTACACGCGGGCCGCCTCGTACGCGCTCCGGAACAACCCGAGGCCGAGCTGGACGTTGCCGGACCGGATCTCGGCGGAGTACCAGCCGTTGGGGTGCTCGCGGACGCCGCGGTAGCCCGACGAACCCCGGCGGCGCGGCGGCATGGTGGCGTGGTGGTGGCGCGGAAAGCGGCGAAGCAGCGAGGTTGCGAGGGGAGGGCGCGTGGCTGTGTCTGTGCGCGTGGCGAGCGCGGCATTTTATAGGCGCGCGTGAAGCGGCGCGCCAAATCTACCGCGCCGCGTGCCGCTTTCTCCCGCGCGCGCGCAAACGCTTCCCGCGCGCGGTAACTTCCCGCCACCGCTGGAGCGCGTGGAAACAGCCGGCGCGCTAAACCCAAATTTTACCGCGCGGGCGCGTCTTTTGCAGCACCTGTTGGAGATGCTCTTATATGATTCCAAACAATCTTTTGTTTCTGGCCATCAAATGAATCTAAGACAAGAATTTTGGGACGAAAGGGGAGTACACTTTTTTAGGACGTATAATCGAATGCATGGTGTGAAAGAATGCTCACTTAAAGCGGGCCTGTCTTAAGGTGTGTTTAGATTATGGCCAAACCAAAATTTTGGTCATGACTCAAAGATTGGTCTTTGTTTAGATGGTTGCAAATTTTTTGGCATGCCAATGAACTCTAGCCAATTCTAGTTTATTTTTCTTGTCAATGTTAGCCAAATCATGGGCAACTAAAACCTCAACCAAAATTTTGTATAGCCAATGCTTTGGTGGGGGCAACTTTGGGCACAAACCAAACACACCCTATCTAAAGTCGGGTGCCTCAAACCGACCTCGAACGTCTGGGCAGCCCACTCGGTCATTGACCGGTCGAATATCTAATTCAGACGAGCGTCTCGAACGGTCCTCAAACATCCAGACTAACTGGCACCCCTCATATCCAGCCTAAAAACGGGGCGTATATGGGGGCGTCCGTCACGCTGGCCCACCCGACCCCACATATATTTTTCTTCATCCGTTCGTCGGACCAAACCCTAGCCACTTCATTTCACATCCAGATCCGTCGACCCCGAGGGTTTCCGGCATGGCGGGGCAGGGGATATGAGTCCTTCACATCCAGATCCGTCGACCCCGAGGAGGAGATGATCGTCCGGCTTGCATTCCACCGCTCTCGGGAGGGGGCTCGTGTGAGGCAGCGCTCGGACTCCTTCCGTCGGGAATTCATTGCATCCATCCAAATGGCGCATGGATCCGTCGCTAGGTGTGCCGTCGCTGCCTCACCGGAGGTGGTGCGGTCCGTCTGGCGTCCGTACGCGATGGTGGACATGCAACCCCTCTGTTGGCGCGCCGAGCAGCAGGACGCACCATGGAGGTCGTGCGACAAAAACATGGCACGACGTGCCTGCCATGCGAGGCAGCAGGCGAGGGAGACGTCGGCGAGACGGAGTCGCACTCTTCGGCACCCCGTATGGTGCAGCAATCCAAGCGTCACAACCGCATCATGGATGGATCCATCATCCATCATCGATCTGACGTCCATCGGCATCCAACGAGTTCCGGGCTCCATCGATAAAGAGTAGGGCATGGGAGACGGCGGCGCCTTGAGTCCCGTGAGCCGGCTCGTGTCCCATGCCCTACTCTACCTTGTCGGCGACCGGACCAACACTCTGGGGAGCGCAGGCGGCGGCCGCCCGACATGGGCACGGCGACCATACGAACTCCGCTTAACGATTGCTACGTTGCATGTAATAATATGAATTTGAGGTATCCAAATATGGAATTGCATTATTTAAGACGTGACCGGTCTGTGTCCGCGGACGTTTGAGTGGTCGGATTTGTCCGGATGTAGATGCTCTTAGGCTTGAATTTGAGTGCTTGTTTCTTTTATTTTAATTAGTTCCTCGAAACAGGCTTTTGCCCCACTTTATAGATAAAGCAATAACCGAACAAAGTACACGGCCGAACGATACAAGGTGAAGAGGAAGCACTCTTACGAAGCAGATCCCAAGATAGTCGGATCACGCAAGAAACTACACTACCGAAGGATAACACAGGGAAGTCTAGATACAACACCACGCTACGCCCTAGCACACCTAAACTCCACGACAACGCCCTTAGGAGGGAAGACGGTGTGAAGCGTCGCCGCTGCCGATTCCCAAGTGGACATGAGCTTTCGCTCGAAACCCTGACACGAAGAGGAGATCCACAACGACGCCTTCAAGAAGAAAGCGGCGCCCACGGGCGTCATCGCCGTCGGCTCAAAAGCGCGGAGATTTCGCTCGGCAACTCACCCGTGCCACACGAGGCCACCAGGGTAACCGCGGCGATTCCACACCCAGATCTGGATCTGGGCGTCGCCCCAACGAATGAGTGCGAGCCCGAGCCACCTGATGCTACCCCCTCGTCGCCCAGATGACTAAGAGGAGAGCAACCGCCGCCGCCATACTGCTCGCCGGAGAGCCAACCATGCAGCCCACCATCCGGGGCCGCCGCCCCGGCATCCATGTCCTGAGTCACCGCCAACCGTCGACCTCATCACGCGCATCCACGGTGGGAGGAATGGGAGGTATCTCCTTCCGGTCCTAGCCCGGCATCAGCCACCCGGCCTGGGTGAGCGCCCCCACAGTAGGGGGCATCCACACCTGCGTCCCCCGACAAACACCGTTGACTGTGGGGAACACGGCCTAGTAGCTGCCGACGACCACCGCCGAGCAAGTCCCAGCACGCTCCACAATCAGACCGAGTCAAGCTCGCACACCGCCACATCCATGGCCAGCACCGTCGATCTGTCTACAGCATAGCAGCAACACGGGCGCCTACTCGGATCGACGTCACAATGGAGCAACATGAAGGAGAGACCAATGCGGACTAGGTCAGCTCCGGACCCTACACTCCGACGGACGCCATCCACCACCACCGACCAGATTCGGCCTCGAGACCGCCTGGAGGACCGGCCAATCTG